CCCCATGCTCCTGTTGGGATGCTCCATCTGCCCCAGCATTGCAACATTCGCAAGCTGCTCTGGTACTTCGAAGTATGTAGAAAAAAGATTTAAAGCTGTGTCTTTGTCCGAATCACTGATTCTCTGAATCAGCATCGAATCTTCAGATCCTGATTTGGCCAAATTGAATCAGGGACAGTGATCCGAATCACTGTCTCCGATTTGGGCCAAATCTGAATCAAATAGGGCCTGCTTCACACACCCCTGCTGGCTATAGCTGAGGCTGGCTGTTTTAACCTACGGTATACTTTTGCCAATACTGAGAAAACTCAGAAGTTCCTGGTTAAAGGATCTTGCTCTTTTTCTGGGTCATACCAATCACCAAATATGGGACCAGGAAGGAATTTTCCCCCCCAAGTCAGATTGACAAGAACTGTGGGGGTCTTCACCTTCCTCTGTAGCATGGGGCTTGGTCCTCTTCCTGAGATCTTCTGAGCACATATTAACCAATTTTTTTCTGTCATGCAAGGGAAGCTCATTGGCAGTGCCCTGATGTTCCCAGCTTTTACCTGTGCACATTGTCGGGTGTCCTGAGTGTTTCTGATGTACCTCCACTGGGAAACCCCAAGCCCACTCCATCTGCTGACTCCCACCTGCATACAGCAAACCATGGGTGACTGGTGCCTCTTGACACCACTTGGGGTGGGGAGGGACAGCGGCTAATCTCACTTACTGGGGGGGCAGAGGGTGCTCCTTGTGCTTTGTAGTTGTGTGTGTGAGAGTGTGAAGTGGAGATTCTGAGGAATCCTTGGGTTAACAACTGCCTGTGAATGCAAGAGAATGTAATCAGTGGTCCAGAAACCTCTGCTAATACTGTTTTCCTGTGGTTGGTGATTTTCCTTTAGCCAGAGCTGAATGTCTGGCATGGCCCAGCTCCTTGAGCCCCATTCCCTGCAGTACCTCATTTCATTTTGCCCAAGGCATACATGTCTCTTTGGAACTTTCATGCAGGTTTCGCATCCTCTGCCAAACAATCATTGCTCACAAGCTCTTTGACTACGTTGTTCTGGCCTTTATCTTCCTCAACTGCATCACCATCGCTCTGGAGAGACCACAGATTGAGCACAGGAGCACGGTGAGCAGACCTGTCTCATTTTTTGTTGTACACAACACCTCAAGGGTTCTGGTAGAGAAGGTCCATGAAAGTTATTACCATGGGCACTGGCATTGCGTCTGACTAGCCCTCAGCAATGGACAGTCTCCCAGCACACACATCACTGTGATACATCTACATGGAACAAAAGGCTTGATGCCCCCTTTTGAAGGTCTCACAGTGGTGCAAACCTTCCTTCCTAGAAGTAGTTTCCTGTTTAGAAAGCAAAAGGGTCCCCCAGCCTCTCCTAGCTAGGAGATAGCTTTCCACTCAGAACCAAAGACTCTGAAACTGAAAAAGGCAAGTAATCTTTGTGTAGCAGTGCCCTAGTGGGAATGGCATTTCATAGTTCAAGTCCATTGCTTCTTGATCTTGAATGTGGATGGGGGTGACCTGGACATGGAGAGACTGAGGTTCATGAGTGAAATGACCTCTTGTGAGTCTCAGCCCAGTCCACATTCACATTCTGTACCACAGTTAGGCAGATTACAGTAGTCTGTCCTCAGGGTAGGTCCCAGCAAGGAGTCACAGAACGGGGCTACAGATCAGGACTAAGTGGCCTGGGCAGGACTCTGTGGAAGGTCACTGAGGCTTAGCAGCAGGTGCTGCTGCAGGTTATGACAAAAGAGCTTTCCCAGAGCTGTGTGGTAGCCCCAAGACTAGAGCAATGGGTGACACTGGAGGTCAGGACTGAAGTGCATGGGCTGAGATGTGTAGGATGAAGGCTGTCTGGCACCTGCTGCTGTTTTTACAGTCTCAGAGTCACGTATGCATACAAAAGTAAGAGACTTAAGTTTCAAAACAAGGAATTTACTAGAATAGCAAAACAGTAGGAGTGTCTCTAGGTGTGCTTTAGGGAATTTCTCTGTTCTTTCTAGGAGAGGATCTTCCTCACTGTGTCCAACTACATTTTCACAGCAATCTTTGTAGCTGAGATGACACTAAAGGTAAGTTGCCTGAAGAGAGCAGCTCAGCCCTTCCCCTCATCTCATGGGCCCTGTGTGGTTCCTTTCTGTTCATCCTCCTTCCAGAATCTATCCATCCTTTCAGTCTTCCAGAAAGGTTAAGCCAGTCCTCTTGCATTCAGCCTTGGCAAGGATTGTTTATGTGCACCAAATCTAGAATAGCCCAGGTCAAATCTCCCATGGTCTGTAATGGAAGTAGTTATTCTAGGCTTAAATCAATAGGCCTACTGGTATCTGTGAGAAACAGAATGAACTCTAGATATAACATTCAGACTTCATAATAACAGTGAACTATGGCCAGCAGGTGGGAGTGGTGGTAGTAGTAGTAGTAATAATAATGATAATAACAGCATCGAGAAAAGTAGCAGTTCTCATTTGAAATGACTGTTTATTCACAGGATTCAAATCGCTTCCCAGTAGGGAAATATCATTATCCCCATATTACAGATGGGGTAGCTGAGTCCTCCAAAGATTAAGGTTAGTTTTCAGATTTGGGAGGCATAAATTTCAACACATTAAATCCACACTTAGGTATCTAAATAATAAACCTGATATTCAGAGGTACTGAGTACTCCCTAATACCTTTCACTTCAGTGGCATCTGCTGGTGTTCAGCACCTTGGCAAAGTAAACTGCTTATTTTGGTGTGGGAATACAAATTTAAATACCTAATTTTATATGCCTAACATTTCCAGATTTTGGACTGAGAGATTTGCCTTACTTTGTGGGACAGCATGGAACAGAACCCCAGTATCCTGGCTTACCCTTTCCCACTGTGCAGCATCATCTCCCTTCCTGAGTCCTCTTACTCAGGGAAGAAGATTAGATGTTAGCTGAAAAGTGAGAAAACACCATTGAAGCTTTGGTGAATGTTTATTATTTTTTCTAGAGCATTGTCTTTCTTAGACCTGGGTTCCATACCACCAGTTTCTCCCTTTCTGCTCCACAGACTAAGTCTTTTTCACGAAAGGAACATGATAGAAGGGTGAAAAATGGGTCTTCACTGCTTCCTCACCTGTTGCTTTTGAGAGTTACTAAATAGCCTCCCCTGCATCATCATGGATGGGAATGGTTTAGTCTCCTCCCCCATGGTCTCCCTGTCTCCTCTCCTGTAGGTGGTCTCTCTAGGCCTCTATTTTGGGGATCAGGCCTATCTCCGCAGCAGCTGGAACATCCTGGATGGCTTCTTGGTCTTTGTATCCCTCATTGACATTGTGGTCTCAGTGGCCTCTGCTGGAGGAGCCAAAATTCTGGGGGTGCTCCGGGTCCTCCGACTGCTGCGTACCTTACGCCCCCTCAGGTGAGAGCCCCTTCAGCACATATTTAGTCCTCTCTCATAGCATCCTTTGCTCTGTGCATCTAGTAATGGCTCCCACACAGTCCAAGTACAAGAGTAGACCTTACTGAGTGAGAGGATGTTGGCCATGCTGCTGAGAATCTGCAATTACATGCTTACTGTCAGAGGCATAGCGTGCAAATAATGCACCTGGGGCAGACCTCTCTCACCCTTCCCCCTGTGGCAGCTCACAGGAACAGCAGCAAGTAGCAGGCACAGGCAGTGTGTGTCGTAGAGTGCAAGGTGTACTGGGAATTGTAGTTCTCTAGAATGGCAGTGCAGTTTTCTGCTCCTGGAGGGAATGGCCACCTGGTTTCTTCACTACTGAACGCCATGTCGAGAGGGCAATAAAATGGCTGATTTCAGTGGTCAAAGTGCAGTCAAGTCTCCCCCTCGGTAGCAGCAAACTCCACTGCCACTCTACAAAACTATGATTCCCAGAATTTTTCATACTTTGTGACACACATTGCCTATGCTGCTGCAATGTGTAGCCAGAAAGGCAAGCAGAGCAGAAAATGGGAGAGTGGGGTGTTCCCCCCATCCCCTCCTGCTGATGCTCCCACTCTTAAGCAGCATCCAAAGCACATGCCCCACTCACTGACCCCACATATGCTACTGCTTTCTGCCCTCATGGGCTAAGCACTTGAACTGGGATGAAAGGAGTTTCGTTTGACATCCTGCTAGAGACAAGAGTATCAAGTGATGTCCTCTGCACAGGGAGGTTCCTCTGCACTGTGTGGCTCCTCCTCCAGTCTCCAATGCAGTATCCTCATTAGATAATGAACTTAAGACTTGCAATGAAGGACTTGAACCTGTGCCTTTCTGGCCCAGGGGTAAATGTATAGCACTATGGTCTGTTTCTGAAAGCACTGGGAAGAAAGAGCATCTCTTCTGTGTGTCACTGTCACTTCCTCACCTTCCTTCTCTTCCAGGGTAATCAGCCGTGCCCCAGGCCTGAAGCTGGTGGTGGAGACGCTCATCTCCTCCCTCAAGCCTATTGGGAACATTGTCCTCATTTGCTGTGCCTTCTTCATCATCTTTGGCATCCTGGGCGTGCAGGTAATGTTGTTATTCTCTATCCATTGCACTTGGTGCTCTGCAACCCACAGGGTGTCCCTATGTCTCAAGGAGGCCACAGCACAGTGCATACACCCAGGGAACTGTGGGGAGGTGTCTCAGGAGGGGAAAGTAGCATAGGAAGGCTTTGTTATCCACATCCTACTCAGTCCTCCCTTGGGTGTGTCTAAACTTCAGCGGCAGAGAGCTCAGTCAAGAACAGCCTGCATCTTTCCTCTCCACAGGTGTGAAGTCCAGAAATGAGACAGTGAGGACACCCTGGGGTACCCCAAGTTGCCACACTTGAATATACAGGAAAATCAAGTCTTGGGCACAGTGCTTGAGGTACCCCTTAGGGGGGTGGTCCTTCTGTCTGGGGTTGACACGCACAGCAGGAAGAGTTGGGTGAGGCTTATTCCTTCAGTGGTGTGACTGAGCACTCTTGCTGCAGTGCGGATGTACCCTTTGGGTCTGTCTCTTCACAGTAACCCTTAGGTCAGGGGTGTCAAACTCACCTGCTCCCCTGGGTTAAATTTGTATCACTGGGCTACTCGCAAGACAGATTTGAACCAGAAGGAACCTCCCAGGCTAGATCTGAATCTGCCAGTGGCTGCAAGGCAAGTTGTGACAGTAGGGCAAGCAGCAGCACAGGGGTTAACACAGCCATCACTTGCCCTCAAGTCCATGACCACATATGCCCAATGGGGCTCCATGCCCCAGATTTCCATGGCAGGCCCTGGCCCTGAATTTTTGGCCCTTCTAGGAGCTTTATGGGCCAGGTGAAACAGCTCCACAGACTGTTCGGTACCCCTGCCTTAGGACTTTGGCTGTGGTAAGTGGGATTCTTTGAATGGGAATGCTGCTGGATTTGAAGATGTGTAAAGACAGCAGTGGAGTTAGTGCTCAGCTCTTTCAGCTCTGGAGACTGGTATTCAGATCTCAGCACTAACATAGTTATGGAGCAGGCCCAGGAATGGAGTGACAGAGGCTCCTGCCAGTTACAGCTGTGATGTATTGACAGAACTCTTTCTGTTGGGAGCGGGACAGAACCTGTCTGCTTTAAGCCTGACTTTATGCAGTTCTCTCTCCCCCTCACTCCTAACGCTAAATCCACCCACAGCCCTCCCCCGCCTTTTTTTTTAATCCTCTTTATTTTAGGCTTGTGTCGCAGAGGAGTACAGGAGTGGGTGTTACTTCCATCTCATGGAATGTGCTATACTTAGTCTGCATATAGTCTGTTGCAATGAGTCTGTTCAAATGCATAATCTAGTACCTTCCATATGGAAAAGGAGCCTTGAGCAGAAGAACCACATCAGTGTCACCTTACCTAAAAATATTTGAGAACCAGGGGGATAGTCTTTCTGGTTCTTTCTTCTTAGAAAAACTCTTTTTTTCCCTTCCTATACACTTGGGAGCCACTAAAAGGACTTGTTGGTTCTGGGGCATTGTGCTGGATACACGGCTTTTTCCACCTTTAGGCCATTGGTTCCAATTCAGCACCAGCAGCTCACCCCGTGGCTATCAGAGAGTGACAACATTCAGTTACCACTGACTTGGAACCAAACTGCAATCAGCAGCCTGGAGGTAAAGGCTGCGTGTCCTGCTCCCAGGCTCAGAAGCCTTCCACTGCTTCATGTCTGGCAATACTGGGAAAACCTGAAGGAAACTCACTGACCAAGTCACTTCCATCTTGTAGCTCTTCAAAGGGAAGTTCTACCACTGCCTAGGTGTTGACATCCGTAACATCACCAACAGGTCTGACTGTGTGGCCGCCAATTACAAATGGGTACACCACAAGTACAACTTCGACAACCTGGGGCAGGTAAGTGTGGGACTCTCCAAGACCCCTCCTCTTGAGTAAACTGTTGCTACATGCTGGCATCGTGTCTCTCTCTTCAAGGCCAATTCCAGTTTCTCGTTCAAGCGGGTGGGTGGAATGTTCCAAAATGTGCTCTTTCAACCTGAAGTAGAGGCTACTTAGAAATGGGCATTCGTGTTACATCAGGGTAACTTGTGGGTCCGTGTAAGGATGATATTTATATGCCAAGAGAGGAGAAAAGGGGAGACAATGCATCAAGAAACTCATCTGAATTTAAGATAAAAAGTGGGGGGAGGATTGCTTTACCTTATGCCCTCCTAGTAGAGCTGTTTCTTGAAGCTTCCTGAACTCTCTCAACATTTGAGTAACACCTTGTTTCTGATGATCACTTGCTTTTGGGATGTGTTCTGTGTTCACTTATGCAAGAATTCCTTCCCTGAGCTTCTTTATGAGCTGCACCTGTGTCAACAATGCCAGACTTCAGCCTGTAGGGGCATCTTACCTGCAAAGGAAGCTCCATTGATGTCAGTGGAGTTAAAGACTGGAGGAAAATCAGACCCTTAATATGCAATCCTTATGCCCCTGTTTACATCACATTGGGCTCATCTACATGTGCACTTTAATGCACATTAGCCTATTTTAATGTGTATTAAAGCATCACAGAAAACTGTGGGCTTTTGCTAATGCCCGTTAAAATAGGCTAATGCACCTTTTTCTAGTACCTCGCAATGGAGGTACTAAATTTAATGCGCATTAGCAAAAGCGCATTAATGAACGTATAGATGCGCCCACTGTATTTGCATTCTGAATGTCTACCAACTCTTAGGCTCCACTGACAAGATGTCTACAAGAGTGACAAAATCCTCCCTCCTTTCTCCTTGACATGCTGATTTCTCAGCAAGGAGACTTTCCCCCTAGCAGGCAGGAGTGGTTGGTGGGTGTGTTGTCATTGTGTTTGTAAGAGCTGTCCTGGCTCCTGTAGATTTCACTGGTTCTCTCTCATGAACATCCCAGCATTTATATATTTTCACAAAAAAGCAACGGGCATGTTATGCTGTGGTGTTCTGTTTTTCTAACTTACTCGCCTGAGGCAATGTATTGCTAAGTTGGCTTTTCTCTGGGGAGGGGAAGCTTTTTGCTCCACTTCCATAAAAGAGCAGACTTTCCTGAAGGTCTTTCTCTTTTTGCAGCTCAGTTCCCACCTGCATAGCCTAATGTCTCCCTTCTCCATACATGCTCAAAAGAGCAGGTTGGCACCACAAGGAGGATGAGAATTTTAATTCTGTTTTATTGTAAGAACTTAAAACCTAAATTTTCCCCACCCCCTTCATCTACATGCCCCCTACATTTGATCTATTTTTATGTGTTCCAGGCTCTGATGTCTCTCTTTGTTCTTGCCTCCAAAGATGGTTGGGTCAATATTATGTATAATGGACTAGATGCTGTGGCTGTTGACCAACAGGTATAGAGACCTCCTTCTAAGTATATTGTGTGACTCAGACCTCTTTCAGGTAGTAGCATGAAAGCATAATATATTGGCTACATTTTCGTATTTCATCTTCATCCAATAGCATTTTACAGAGCTGTTCTGATCCCTCCTTCTTATTTGCTTAATTGCTGGTAGGTCATGCCCATGCTCTTTGTGCACAGGGATGTGTGTCTGTGGCTAACCTGCCAAGTATTTATTCCAGATCTTGCCTTTTAACCCTTTTACAGAGTTGTCAGACTGGGTGTTTTTTTTTTTATCTGTGATGACTTTTCAGCAGTGTCTCTCCTGACATGATGTACCCTCCTGACCTACAGCTGCCTACTTCAGTTTCCTTTAAGCAGAAATTCTCTGCTGTTTGTAACTAAGTCTCAGTGCTGCCCCAATGGCCAAACTGGCAATGACTTGAATAACGCAAGGTCAGACCTCTACCGTGCACTACAGCAGCACAGGACTGAGCCTTCAAGGTGATGTTACACTTACCCTCTACACTCTACAGTAGACAACTTGTTGAGGACTTAAAGTCCTCAGTGGTAAGACACCTAGTTAAATTCAAGGTCTCCTTTCTCTTTAGACCTAAATGGACATGTCTACATGAGACACATACTGTGGAGTTGCCTAATTAGCCCTACAGTAAAATGTCAGCATCTACACATGCAATGCTATTACACCAGAGTAAACTAATTAACTGGCATAGGATAGTACTACCAGATACAAGTACTGTCCTGTGACAGAGTGTTTTACTTCACCACAATGCACATATAGATTGGTGACCGGGCTGGCAGGGGCACAAGGGTGCTACAGTGCAGGGGCTGTCTGCTGGCTAGCCCCGCACTTTAGCACCTTCGTGCCCTAGCCAGCCTCTATGCAGTATGTTGAGCTGGGAGGGAGCAGCCCTGGGCTGGCAGGCTGATTTCCACACCCCCCCCCCCCCCCCAGCTTTCTGCCAGCTGGGGCTATCCCACCTTG